AGGAAAGATAAAAAATCAGCAGAGAAAAAACCTTTTTAAGTTTTTGGGTTTTGGGTTTTGAGATTTCAAAGTTAGATATAAGGAAATTTGGTTGATTCTGTAAAAAATATTCTGATTAAGTGTTAGGTCTACTCGAGAAGAATTTCTTGGTGAAATTTGGAGAGATTTCGCCACTAGCCGCTTTTTTTTATCAACAATATAAAAAGTGGTGGGCAGTGGCAACCCGATGGCTTGAATCTAGGCAAAGTTAAATCCTAGATGGAGAAGCTCTCATTCTAGAGAGAGAAAAGCTTAGGTTAAAAATGGAGTTATTGTTTTATTTTGGGTTTATATAATGAGAGCATTAAACGATCTTATTTAAATCAGCATAGGAAAACAAATAGTAGCTTGCATTACACTCGAGCATTTAGCTAATTGGTTAATATATTATCCTTTTGCTTAAAGAGCGGGGTTCGAATCCCCCCTCCCTTATTATTAAAAAAATAATAGCTTGCACCATAGTTTTGATTATTTAGATTATAGTTTGGTAAGTGAGAGCTTTGGTGTTTGAGTCCCACCTATAGTATTTAAAAAAAAATTGACCATTTACCTACATTGATCGAGGCCCATTTCAATCCAATTTTTGCTCATGGCTTATTTGAAGTAGTAAGCTCTAAAAGGGGCAGGCCCAGTTCACATAAAAGGTATGAATTTATTTACTCTTCTTTATTTTATTTTGGTATTTATTTTTTATTCTTAGTTTTTTTTATAAATGTGAAATAAACATATAAAATAGCTTCAACATAAATAAATGAGTAAATAAAAACCTTTTGATGATGGAATTTTAAGAAGCTATAAGGGATAATTTTTTTGAAAATTTGTGGGTGAGAAAGTATTCTTAAATTTTATAAAAAGGGTTGGGGAATTTTGGAGAATTTCATACTAAAAGATTTTTATTTATTTAAAAATAATAAAAAAATAAATTTGAAATAAACATATAAAATAAGTTTAACATATATATAAACAAATAAATAAGTGAGTAAATAAACACTCTGATGATAGAATTTTAAGAATGTTATAAAGGATAATTTTCTTGAAATTTTCTAAGCGAGAAATTTTTCTTGAATTTTGCCATAAGTATTAGAGTATTAAAGAGACATTTCAATATCAAGAGTTTTTTTCATTTATTTAGAAAAAAATAAATATAAATATAAATAAATAAATAAAACAAATAAATGAGTAAATAAAAATTCTCCGATGATAATATTTCATGAAAGTTATAAGAAATAAATTTCGCGAAAATTTCTAAGAAGAAATTTTTCTTAAATTCAGCCATAATTATTGGAATATTCAAAAGACATTTCAATATTAAAGGATTTTTATATGTTGTAAAATGATAAAATATAAAAATAATTTAAAGAAACAAAACGGGATATTGAATTTAAAATTGATTTATTAAAGCTAAAAGAATAACATATAATTAATTAGATAACACATTGGGTAGGTCTTATGATAGACTTAACTTGTTTCGTAAAGCGAAATTTATCCGTTTAAATGAACTCACTAAAAAATATAAATTCACTTAAATGACAACTAAACAAAAAAAATTAGTACGGATTTCTCTTTCATGTCGAACAGTTGAATTTACGAACTCAATCATTATAACAATATCCATTAAAATAAATTAATTTGATTTTTTTTTCTTTTAAAAAGATGTATATATGGAAAGAAACTCTTCCATACTTATTATATAAACAATGAGCACAAAAGTTTACAGATATACTTTTGGTCGGAAGAATAAAGGACTCTTTCGCCAAAAGTAGCGAGTCTTCCTCACTCATCTGCACCTACCTTTTATACCACAAGTTTGGTGAAATATTGTCCTCAATTGCAGGTACCATTGCACAATTTCAACAAAGTCTTGTACATGGTGCAACTTAGTTTTCTTTTTGCAACTAGCACAGACCTCTTGAGAAGCTTCAATTGCCCATTTTTAACTTTCATTTACTTTCTTGTCAAGGACATTCACTGCAAGCAAGTTCATCCTCAAATCTAGAATGTGTCTCACATCCTTCAAAGTCAATGTGCAGCCAATAATTGTTTCGACGACAATATCATCGATTCTTACAATCTGCGGCACACTCTTGTTTCCCATCTTAGTAGATCGTGAACACGATCATATGTGGCACTAGCATCAACTATCCATTCAATGCCTCAAATACCAACAAGGATATAATCACCATGTGTACAGAACAAAGTAACTGTATCATCATCAAAATTTATTGCTGCAACATTGTTATCATCTAAACTCTTCTTGCTTTTCCATCTTTTGTCTCTTACTTCAGGATCTTATAATTCCACTTGATGTGACCAACTTTGCCACAATGGTATCACTTCACTGAATCCTTGATCTTTGACCTGTTTTTGAACTTAATACAACCTCTAAAGTCTTTACGTTTATTCTTAGTTTTGCTCATGCTCTTTGTGATAAGAGTTTGATTGGTCCCAAAGTCCATATCATCTCGTCTTACCCCTTCATTAAACATATTATCTTTTACCACCCCCAAGGTCAATTTACCATTTGGAGTCGATTTATTGAAATTCACAATCAATGTTTCCCAATTGTCTGGAAAAAAAATTCAAAAGCAACAACACTTGTAATTCATCATCCAGGTCAATATCTATACTAGTAAGTTGATCCGCTAAATCTTGAAAGTCACTCAAGTACTTAGCATTGATCTTCCCTCCTTGTTTTTCAAATTAACAAAGTTTTTAATAGCAAAAGATTTATTTTGGGAGTCTTTTTCTCATGCAATGTAGCAAACTCTACTCAAATACTATGGGTTTGTTACTTTTGCTACGTGGTGAAAAGCACTTAATATCAATCCATTTTCTAATAGTGTCCAATATTTTTTATTTTTGAAAGTTAATTGTGTTATAAAGCAGGGAATCCCTGTAGAGAACAAAAGAGAGATCTGACGTTGGAAATCAGGTCTCATGAGACATTACTGGCTTACCAAAAATGTCAGACTAGCCAATGCAAGCACAAGAATCTCATCTGTACAACAGTTTCGTGCACCTGAGCCACAAAAAAGAAAAAACGACCACCAGTAAGGAATGAACTGTTTAAGTTCCGTACTGGTTTCAGACATCATTCACAGCGAAGTGACTGTCAACAAAACAGACCCAAAAGACCAGCATGACAGAAACAGCCCAGCCATAGAACGAGAGCAAAAGCAGAGGAAGGGTCAGCCAGAGGAGCCCTCCTCGACTCCAGTACTAAAGACATAACAACACTGCAGAACAGGGGAGCCAAAACATACCAGCATCACTGAAAAGCTGCAGAAGGATTCTTACGAGATCGTTAGGCCTCTCAATTCCTGTTTTGGCGAGATTATCAGCCACTTCATTACCCGACCCGGGTATGTAACGAATCTGCCAGTTCAGTACTGTGTCTCTGAGTGCACTGATCTGAAAAATGAGTTGTCTTATCCTCCATGGAGCGTTAGGGGGTTTGGTAATCTAAGTCACCGCATTCATGGAGTCACACTCTACGATGATGCCACCAATCTTAGCGCATGAGGATGCTGTGAAAAGGACCATGGCCTCCCTTATGGCTAGAACTTCCGCAAGATAGAGTCAACATTATGCAATCCATCACCAAACAAATCCTTGGGCGTAGTGGAATTAAACACCCAATATCATATCAAATAAATCCTTGCAAAATAGATGATCTTCCTTCATTAAGTTCCAATTTGATTAATTTGAGACTCTGAACTTTATCATGGAACCCAAATCACTCTCCATGGTTTAAAGCAGTAACTTGCTATGATACTAGTTGTTGGACCTCAAGCAACAAACAACACAATACCACAACACCACAGCAAACAGACAACACAACTCTAAGTCAAATCTGATTGGGCACGCTTTCGACCAGAAGAGATCGAAGCAGCCACTATAGCGTCACCCATGGGAGGATGTTCTCCACAACAAGTGAGAGATTCATTCGCAACAGATGCAACAACAACTAATGCCTTGGAAAACCTACCAAAGCTAACCAAAGTGGTAACATTCATGAAAGAATTCAAGAACCCTTCCAAAAATAGATGAATTCATTCCGAGATTACGTGAAATAAACAACTTGATGAATAATATGGGTAAGCTTATCCGTCTCTCCCGTTCTGTTCACCTGAAAAACGTATAGTTTTGTCAAGAATGGGATTCGAACCCATGCCCTTTCGGACCAGTACCTGAAACTGGCGCCTTAGACCAACTCGGCCATCTTGACAAGCTATTTTTGAGGATGATGCTGCTTCTTATGTATAATATTTATAGTTATTTGAGAAGTAAAATCAATTATTAGAATTTAGAGACCGTTGATGGATCTCGGGAACGAAGTTATGCATTTTAGTATCGTTTGAAGGAATCTTGCTGTTAAATTCTTCTCAACCCATGTCATGAAATACTACTTCATCAGAAAACAAAATGTAAGAAGTTACTATGCTTTTGATCCATGATTAACACATTTCCTCCAACAACTAGTCCCTTGGAAACTCTACCAAAGCTAACCAGAGTGGTAACATTCATGAAAGAAGTCAAGAACCCTTCCAAAGGTAGATGAATTCATTCCGAGATTATGTGAAATAAACAACTTGATGAGTGATTTTTAAGCATGTAATTTAGTTCAATAATTTATTGGGTGCATTATAAAAGCTAATGTGAACTCCAATCGGACATGGCAAATTATTGAAGCAAAGGGATTGTTGACGATACTGAAAATGTCTCTCTTTGATTTCAAAGGTTGTGACAATACATAAATTTTTTGAAAGCACTTTCTTGAATATAATATAGTACAATGATTGCATATAAATCTTTGGGACAGCGAATTTAACTAGTGGGGACTGATGATCATGGAAACGCATTTCGGCATGTGACTCCCTACTTTCCAAGGGTCACCAATCACCAAAATATGCTCTGACAAAAAAGCATCTGTCTAATAATCAAACTAATATAAGACAGTGTCCAGCCGCAACATATTCTTTTCTAGTAACGGAACGCATGACATTGCATCACCCGTAGATTAGTGAATACCAAGAAACTAAGGAAGAAGCTGACTTCAACCATCTCCTCCAATGGCTTCTTTTGGTTTTTGCTCTGATCTTTTTTCCACAAACTCGTTGCTTTTGCCTCCATGTGTCCATATGCTTCCAATATACCTGCAAACTAAACAGAACATCTCCCAGTTTAGTGTCATTGCCAGCTCCAGTACTGGCAGCAGTGAGCTGATGACTGAAGCAGCAGTTACTAAGACTGAAAGTGAAAGAACAAGCTTTGGGTTCAAGAACTTGACTGAGACTTTCTGGGTTGATGTACATAGAGCTGAAGGGAGGCCATTGAGTGTTAGGCTCAATGAATCGTTGACCTTTGCATCTTCAAAGCTTGAAAAGGTCGAGAGTGTGGTAATTAGAGTTGAACTGAGTAACGGGTGTGTTGGGTGGGGTGAGGTGCCAGTGCTTCCTTTGGGTAACTGGAATCAGGCTATGGCTCTTGACAAAGTGAAAGAGGCATGCAAGTTTCTGGGGCAGGGTCCCCCACTGACTTTGAATTTGGTCTTAGATAAGATTTCAGAGACTGTTCCTGGTACAGGATTTGCTTCTGTGAGTATACTATGACCCTGGCCTTTTCTTTGATACCTTCCTTTTGTTTTTCTTTTCCCCTCTTTTTCAAATTTATTTGTTGCATTGATGGTTGTGAACAAAAATCTAGTCCTGCTGACTTGTGTGTATTTTCTTTTATATATTCTGTGGAGCTTCCTGATTTCTAGGACTTTTTCCCTCTGAGCACAGCATTCCCAAATTCCTAATGGAACAGCACTTCTTTTCTCTTCTTCTTCTTCTTCTTTTTGGTTTTTCTGCTCAGAAAAGTTCTGATGGAATGAATTCCTCTTACAAGAATTTTGTAATAATCTTTATATATCTCTTCATAATTAAAGGAAACAAGCTATGAACAAACTTGCGAATGTGTTCATTTGATAAGTACAAGTGTAATCCTTAGTGTTTATTGAGTGATATCTTGCAGTTCTTAGATCTTATGTTCTTCCCTGACAGTAAGTGCGTGACAAAAGTTCTTAGGTTTTTGTGTTTATCGAGTGGTATGATTTAGTCAGTTACTTACTGGTTTCAATAGCTCATTCTGTTTCTTAGAAGAACAATATCAACACATTATATTGTTATCACCTCTGCATTATATCAGTCATCATCAAATGCCAGTTATGACAAATCAGCGACTTCAAAATTTAAGCCTTCATAGATTTAGCTTAGTAATGGTCCTCCTTTAGGTTGCTTCTTCCCTTTTTATTGAACTAATAGGCTTGAAGCTCACTATGCATTCCGATCCTTATAAGTTGTATCTGTATATGAAGGTTAGGGCTGGACTGGAAATGGCATTAATTGATGCAGTTGCTAACAGCATTGGTGTCCCCCTATGGAGATTATTTGGGGGTGTGTCAAATACCTTGTCAACTGCTGCTACAGTTACGTCCCAAAGCTACAAGCATATTTTAAGGAATGTCTAACTATTAATAATTGTAGTCAAATGATCAGTTTCATGGTTGAGATGAAGACTCTCTCTTATTATTTATACCATATTTGCAGATTCCAACAACTTCCCTGGCTAAAGCTTTTGACCTGGCTGCTAAGTATTGCAAACTAGGATTTAAGATATTGGAGCTTAGAGTGGGTAGAGACCTAAATGCAGATATTGAAGTTCTTCAAGCAGTACGAGCAGCACACCCTCATTGCTTATTTATCTTGGATGCAAATGAGCAGTACACTTCAAAGGAAGCTATTGAAGTTCTTGAAAAGCTAGATGGTAAGGTATTTTACACATGAGAAGTGGGCTTAAAAGCAGATAAAGATAACATTTTGTTGTTATACAAAGGACTTAGTTGAATTGTAATTAACCTTGTTAGGTTTTTTGTCAACTTAATTTGTTTCACTGATTAAAGAAGTCTTTTATCATTCATTTTATTGCAGAAAAAGGGGTAACTCCTGTTCTCTTTGAGCAACCAGTTCACAGAGATGACTGGAGAGGTCTTAGAGAAGTGAATACTGTTGCTAGAGAGAAGCATGGGATATCTGTTGCAGCAGATGAAAGTTGCAGGAATTTGGTTGATATTCAAAAACTTATACAGGAAAATATTGTGGATGTCATCAACATTAAGTTATCCAAATTTGGGATTCTTGGGACCCTTGAAATTGTTGAGATGGTTAAAAAATCAAAATTGAACCTTATGATAGATAGCGTGGCTGAAACTAGAATTTAGCCGCTGGTGTTGCTGGTCATTTAGCCGCTGGGCTTGGTTGCTTCGAGTAATTATGCCTCTTCTTTCCATTTATCTATTAAATGTCTTCAATTTTTTTCTGTGAATTAGTAACTTGAGTTTAATGTTATCTATTTCTTGTGTCTGGCAGTTTGAACTCAATCTGGTAAAAGTTTAACAAATCAAAGGTTTAAGTTTTGATGCAACTTTGTTTGCAGATATGTTAATCTTAGTGCTCCCATTTTGCTTTCAGAAGATCCAGTTGTGGGAGGCTATGAAGGTAGAATTGCTCTAAATCTTACATCTCTTTGGAATTTGTATCTTTTCTAGTTGCATGCAAGGTTTGTGGTTTGGAGCTTTAAAGAACACATTAAAATATTCAATTTTCTTGTGCTAGTTTCTGGCTCCAATCACAAGTTTGTTAATAGCAGAGGGCAAGGAGGTTTTCTCAAATGGGATAGTGCCTCATGGTGAGCTTTTCCTTTACTTTAAAACAGATTTCCATGGTCAAAATAATGATTTAATGATCTCTGTGCATGCTGTAGTTTTTTACCATACTATGCTAGAATGTGTAATGCAAGAAGCAGCAATAGTGTATTTGTCCCATCTAAGTGCAGATATTATTTATTTGCATGTGTCTGTGGATTGATATTGCACAGAGAGGAGGGGCAAGGGTGGGGAGGAAATAGAGGAAGATAATATGCTGGCTTTAAACTTTTGGAAACAGCCTATATTAGAATCTTTTCTTCCATGTAAGTTGCATAGCGCAAATCAATTCAATAGCCTCATTCTAGTCAAGGCCTTGGCAGACTCTGTGTACCTGAGCATGGTCTAATTAAGCATTTAGGCAGGGAACGGTGAATACTTCAGTGTAATTGATCTCTCCTTATAAATCTGATGCTTAATATAAAATGTGTTTTATGACTTAGTTCTACTGCTGAGGCCTATGGTTCTGTTTGTCACTGTAACCATCTCCGGTCCTGGCTGTTATGGCACAGGATTTTCAACTACTGAATAGAGGAGTTTTAAGGACACGAATCTTGTGAAGCAATGCCATGTAGTTCATCCATACTATAGGGAAGAATCATCATACTGTTTTTAGGAGCGTACCAAGAGCAGAATTGCTTAGGATGAAGTAAAAGCTGATTCTCATGATCTTCAAATCGCAAACCTGAAGACTAATATTGGTTAAACTGAAAACTAAACATACCGTTGCATACTTCCCTAGTTCATCTGATCCCGGTTTTAGAGTTTGGATGGCAAACTTTTACATGTGAAATATCTATTTGGAAGATAATCTTATTAGTTCCACTGACTTCACCCACAGACTCCAGTTAACTGTTAACTCATAAGAAAAATGCCTAGTGAATCAAACTCAAATCAAAGGAACTAAATTAGTTACACAGTCAAATTTTTATTATGAAGTTAATATCTTGTATTTGCAATGTTCCTGATGACTAAGTTGACAATACTGAAAACCCTAAAGGATCTATAAGAAATCATTTGGTACGTTCTACAGCATACCCTTGATCATCTTGCATGCAAGACGTGGCAGCTACAATGCAATTGCTAGCTCTGTAACGCCGGTTCTTTAAAATCAAAATAGGAAAGAGTGAGAAAAAGTGGTTCAGGACATGAGGTGTTTGAGGATCCTTTGTTTAGGATGTAAACTTAAACAAAAGCCATTAGAATGCTGAATTTTTTTGAGGAGGCTGAAAGAAATTCTAGAAGAAGGGGTGAAGGGGAGAGAGGTGTAATTCTCACTTGTGGTCTTTGGCGATCATGTACAATATTTTGGGATGATTTCCTTTAGGCATTTGATAATTGCTTGTGAGAGGAACGTTGGTGGTGTCGCAGAAAGTCAGAACTAGTTGATAATGAAGCCTTGAGATTGCAATAGAAGAATAACAAAGTCCTGAGAAGCTGCATGCCGGTCAACAAATCTTACCATGTGCTAAAATGTATAAATATAGTTTAAACCTTGTTTATAAAAAAATTAACCAACTAGTTTAAATATATTTTAGCCATTTTACGGATTCTTTAGGAGTTACCATGCATCTGCTCATGCCAGCTAACATGTATTATCCATCTGTGACGTATGAAAACATAGATGAGTCAAAATTAATGAAGGTGAATAATCTGTTTATCCTTTAATCTCTACTCCTTTGCCCGATATCTTTTGTGTTATCTAGAACTCTTAACTTCAGTTGCACTGAAGTTAAACTATGATTTAGAAATGAGCTTCTACAAGCAAATAGATAAGCAACTTGCCAACAAACTGACAGGTATCATAGTTGCTACTTCTCTTGTCCATGGTTCCACGCCATTGTTAATTGATTTCACAAATAGGCATTACTAGAGTCTCTTGCAATCAAATGTTTCTGAACTTTTATAGCCTTAGGCTGATGGCCACACCTTAAATATTTAAGTAATTGTTTTCACATTTTCTCATTTGTGTTGGTTTGTGAGTAAAGAGAGAGAGATTTGTCTACAACTAGAAATTTTGATATCCTTTATTTAGAACTATTTCTTCATTAAGATTGAAACTGCTGGGTGATGTTAGGAATCAGTACAAACTATGTTTTAGCCTCTTTGGTTTGACCAATATCTAACATCCTGCAGAAATTGACTGGCTATGCTCTCACAAAGAAAGGAATCAGAAATTTTGATGGTCTGTTCCTCGCTTCAACAAAATTATATTAAAAGATTAACCAGCATGACAATCAGCCCTGATCAGTTTCCAAGTCTCTAGGGTACTCTTCTCCATCCTTTAGTTACTATCTGTATGAACAACTGAATATCTGCTTTATATTTCAGGATTCTGTAATGTGTACAAGATCAAGTCTATTTAAGTATAAATTTCAACAAGTAGATAAGAAAAGTATGATTGCTGGATTGTACGGGTATATATATATTACAGACTTTGCAGTAGTGTAAGCATGTCCATTGCTGGAGAACTTTTCATGGCATCACCCTGGACATGTTAAATTCAGGCTTGAAATCAGACTGTTTTCACTTGGCTCTTGTGCTTCTAGTCTTGTTTAAGCAATGAGCCTACTTTACTGTTATCCTCTGCAAACGTTAACGTTTACTAATTCCATGTACAAATTTAGAGGAAAGGAAATTGCAACTCAATTCTTTAAATAAAGGATATATATATATATATATATATATATACACTCTTATTGTTAAGTCAAATGTGTGAGTCTTAAATTTCAAGCAATTTCTTTTGCTCTTTCAATGATCTTTGACCTTGCTGTAAACACTCAGAGTCAATAATAGATGCTGAAGAAGAAAGTATTCGACGAGATTTATGAATTAATGTTGGTTATCAAGCAAACCTACTGCTGCAATGACCACAGGCCTCCAATTTGAGATATTTTTGTCATTCATTGCATATGTGGTAACCAAGATGGTTAGTTGCACAATTACGACTCAAATGTATTTCATCTTTCAATTTTTCTTATATTCAACAGTTAATCGGCGTCAATTCAGCATCGTTGTGAGTTGAAATGCATTTCGTTGTATGCTTGATTGGCTCGTGGGTCATTCCCATTAAAGACCGCAACCGGTATGTTAGGTCAAACGCACCATCGAAAGTAGTTCCAATTACAGCAGAATAAGAAAAACCAAACAATAGGTGACACATGTAATTGCCTCCTTCAACACAAGTCTTAACATTCATGGACCGGTGCAACATTCAAGTGAAAGTGACAAATATTTGCAATTTGTCTCCGAAAAGAAGCGTGCAAATATATTCCCGGCAGTCAATTGTAAATAATAATTGTTAATGTTATATTTATTTTATTTATAAATTTTTTATAATTAAGATAATAAAATTTATTAATTATTTTAAATATAATTTTAAATTTTAATTTATTTTTTATTTATTAATTTATTTTTTGTTAATAATATATATTATTTTAAATTATTTCAATTAATTATTTAACTGTTTTTTTTCTCAATAACATAGAGTGTTTAAAATATTCAAGTACAGAGTTCAAGTAGATATCGATATAGATCAATCTATCACTCATCTAAATTACAAGGGTGTAAAAATTAAAATATAATAAGATATATGCACAAAGAGCAACTTAAACAAACATTAATTAAGAAACAATGGTGATAATGGAACTCATTAATACAGAGGATGTTATCGAAAATGAATCTTAATGATTTATCAGGTAGGATGATGAAACAGACCAGAAACCTTCATTTTTTTTTATTTTGATTTTGAGAGGTTTTGACAATTGAAATAGATATTGAAAGAGTAATTATTCGATCGTGAAAATTTTATTTTATATGTTATTAGATTGTTAAATTTTTAGTAATCCAATATAAGTATAATGAATAAAATAAAATAA